CCGGGACCTCGGCCGTTTGGAACCTGGAGCCCGTCTGGCCTCGCGCCCTCCCCGCCGCAGCCCATCGAGGATCCTGCCGGAAAGCCCCTGCCCGATGCCCGACCTCACGCCCGACCTGCCAGAGCGACCGGCTGAGTGGCCTTGCCTTTTGAACTTGTAGAGGATGAACACGCCCACCGCGAAGAGTCCGATGACCACGAGGACCGCCACGGCCCAGTAGCCGCCACCGCCTCCCAGCCTCTGAGAATCTGAAAGAGAGCAGTGGTGCTCAGTGGGGCCCCACCGTCCCCCGCCCCGGCCTCCTCGGCTGGAAGACGTGGTCTGGCAGGTGCTCCCGGTGTGGCTGAGCGGCGTGGGCAGGCGTCGGGGCAACCCCGGCCCCAGGTCCCCCGCCGGGCTCCTGCTGTGTGCGCGAGGGCCCCGGCCCCTCCTTCTGGAAGGCGGACCGAATTGCTGGCGTGCGGTCAACCTGCCATGTTTCGCGATGGGCCCCGTGTCTCTACAGGGCAGAGGAAGCTCTTCGCTTCTGCAAAGATTCTTTCCCAAACAGGAAAGGACACACGCGTGACCGGAGAGCACGGTCCCATGTGGGGGCAGGGACCCTAAATGTCCATTTCAGTCAAAGCCAGGGCTATATGTGCCGCATCTGCGGACAGAGCAAGGCCCTTGGGTCTGAGCCCCCCCACCCTTGGGTTGTAATTGGAGGCGACTGTCCAGCCAGGAGGAGCTGGTGGGTGACTGGGGGGTCCTCTGCCCCCAGTCCCCAGAGTAACAGTGTCGCCTGAGGGGGTTGCACACCCCCTCGATCCCGCAGGGGTGAGCACGGGCCAGGCCAAAGGAAGCCCCCTGCTTCTCACCTGTGTCTGTGTCCCTCATGGCCACCAGGATCCGGACCCCACCTCGCAGGAGGAAGCTGATCTTCTGTGCCTTCAGCACCTGCTGGATGGCCATGAGTCTCTGAAAGCAAGAAGAGGAGAGTGAGAGGGTCCTCTGGAAGCCACCGGAGGGAGCGGGAGAGCTGGGCAGACATCTGCTCTGACCCTCCAGAGCCACAGGGTTGCGGGGGGGGGGGCACTCAGCTTCTTTGGGTCTCAGTTTCCTCATCTGTAAAATGGGAATACTTGCCAGCTTGCACTGAGAACCTACAGAGGGGCACGAGGGTGACCGAGCTGGGGCCTGACCACTCTCGTTCTCGTTGGGGCCATAGAGTGTGGTAAAGTTGGGGAGCCCAGGGGTGCTCAGGAGGCCCCCAGACCTGGCAGTGGTCAGGGAGGGCTTCCCAGAGGAGGAAGACCAAGACGAGAATAAGATGGGGACAGGACAGGTGACCTGGGCCAGGGAGTGACCGCACCCCTGACGGAGAGCAACCCCAGGAGGTGATGTTGCTGGATCACGGGGTGGGGGGCGGCTGGCCTCTTGGAAAATGAGGGGGAGTTTTCCTGGTGTTCAGAAGGGGACCAGCTGCCCCATGTGGCTGCCCAGGTGTCATTCCTCTGCACAGGTGGGTGTACAGGTGCTGGGGAAGGGGGCCTCCCACAGGATGGTGGTCCCTGGGGCTCCCCTTCCCAGGGTGCCTTGGGTGGGACATTCTGGGGGCCAAACTCGCCCTCCACGAACAGCAGCTTGGCACCCGGTGTTCCCTGGGAATGTGGGGTCTGCGTCTGGGACTGTGCTGCAAAGGTCAATGCCTCCGGCCCCGTGCCCGGCACATGGCAAGGGCCAGGCGGATGCTGTGCAGTCAGTGACCGTGATGGGTCCCTAGGATTTTTCACCATCCTCAGGCACACGGTTTACCCTCAGCTCAGGACAAGGGGGGTGACAGTTCCCCCGTGTCCCTCCCCATCTCCTTCCAAATCTCTCCTGAGTGCCCACATCTGACTCCTGCAGAATCTGCCCATCTGCTCTCCACCTCGAGGGCTGGGGTGGGCGGGGGGTGCTGTGGGCCCGAGGGAGGGAGGTTCCCGAGGCCCGCCGCGCCTTCCCCAAGCTGTGCGGAGCCCCTGTGGTTAGCTACCTGTCTGAGAAATGGGTACAGTCACTCTCAACCCTCTGCTGTCCCACCCCCCAGAGACACGGCAGGGGCCGGGGGCTTGGCAGGCTGGGGAGCCCTCAGGTGCCGATGCGGATGCCCTTTGGGAAACGCCGTGGGCCAGGCCCCGACAGTCACGTCTAACCAGGAGGCAGCGTGGGAGTGGTGTGGAGCAGCCACGGTGACATGGGGCTCCCTGTCCTCTCCGTGGTCCTGATGGTGCCCCCCACCGAGCCCCACTTCCCTCGTCTGTAAAATGAGATGCTATCAGCCGCCCACAGGGCTGTGCTGTGCCCCGCTCAGCGCTGGTCCGTCTTTCCAGACGGCCTCCAGGGGCATCTGTCTCACGACCAGTCCAGAGGGGGGTGGGGCTTCTGATTCTCTTTTTTTTGTCTTGAGATAACATTTGCTTTCTTCAAGCGTACAAATCGGCACTTTTTAGGGTACTTACGGTCACGTAGTTATCACCGCTGTCTGACTCCAGAACATTCTCATCATCCCCAAAGGAAACCCATGCCTGCCAGCCGTCTGCACCCCCCGCACCTCCCCAGCCTCTGGCAGCCGGAGCCTGCTTTCCGCCTCTGCGCGCCTGCCCCTTCCGGACATTTCCATCAACGCAGGCATCCAGCAGGCGGCCTCGGTGATGACCGGCTGCTTCCCCTGCGCGTCCCGTCTGCCGGGCCCATCCCAGGGGCAGCAGGTGTCAGATCAGACCCGCATCCCTTTTGACGGCTGCATAAGACTCCATTGTGTGGACGTCTGGCTCGTGGCCACTCTGGGGCTGCTGTGAACACCTGTGTGCCTGTGCGTGTGGACGAGCATTTCCGGTCCTGCGCACGCGCCTCAGGGGCCGTGCCCGACGCTGACCCTGCCTAACCTTCTGGGGACCTGCTGGTCGGCTCGGTACAGGGCTGTGCTTACAGTGCCCTGGGTCCGATTTCCGCTCTCCCCCTCCACCCGAGTTTCGGTCTGTTTGGGGAAGCGTTACAGCCACCCCAGGCACCCCAGTGGCTTCAATTTATCCCTGGGTCCCCATCCTGTGCCCGCCACATGGCAGGTCTTCTGTCTGCCCAGATGAGGGCTATTCTCTGGAAGCTGTCCCATGCAGTGAGGACATTGGCTAAGTGGATGGGCGCTGATTTCCACTCTGTCCCGAGACCCACACCCTGGGTGCTCGGGCCAGTGTGACCAGCTCTGGCCACCGGAATGTCCCCCTGGGGGGTGGTCCCACCCCAGTGCCCTTGTGCCCCGCCATTGCCCAACACAGTGACCTTGGAGGCCACCGGAGTCCCAGGGGTGCGGCCACGGAGGGAGCAGAGCCGGCCACCTGCGTCAGGCAGTGATTGGTGAGATCACTGGTGATCTGGTGAGTGACTGGTGGGCCTCTACGTGACAAAGAGCCCCCGAGACTCTGTGCTTGCTGTGACTTACCACCAAACCCTGGGCACTAGGCCACCAAACCCTTGGCGGTGCAGGGAGAACCTGGGTCCAGCGGCCTCAGGAGATACCTTGTCACTTGTGAGATTCCTCTTCCTCGCGGGCCCGGGAGGGGGCAGGAGCACGTTCAGGTCGGCCACGGTGGGCAGCCCCGGCTTTACAATGGTCACCAGCAGCTCCTCGGGGACGCTGGTCTCCTGCAGGGACACGGACAAGCCCCCCTGAGCCGCCTGTCTTCTCTGTCCCCTGCCATGCTCTGGGGCCCCCAGGAACACCCTCTCTCTCCTCTTGGTCTGTCCAAGTCCTGGCCACCTGTCCTTCGAGCTAGTCCTGAGCCTCGCACCCCACAGGGATGGCCCCCGAGCCCGGTAGCCCCCTGACAGTGGCCTCCCCCAGGCCAGGCCTGCTACCTCCAGATCATTCCTCACACTGAGGGTGAGCAGAGCCCTCTCTGGCTAAGCTCCTCCCAGGCATCAGGGCTCCTGACCAAATAGTTCCTCCAACCCACAAAGCTCAGCCTCCACGGGTCCCTCTGCCTCCTGAAAATCCCACTCTGTGCACTTCTATCTGGCAAACTCCTATTCAGCCTTCAACACCCAGGACAGTATCACCAGCATTATTAACTGGTTGAGGAGAGGCACGGCCAGAGTGGGCCTCAGCCTGTGACAGCCTTGGATGACTGTGGGGGGCTGGTCTTTCCTTCACTGAGGGACCAAGGGCCCTGAGTGGCCTAGGCCCACCCTGGGGCACTGCCTCAGTCTGCTGTCTGTGGGCTCCCCAGGGGCAGCAATCACATGGATTCTCTCTGGCTCCAGCATCCGGCCCAGAATAGAAACTCCGTGAATAAATGTATATCATACTAAGGAGCTTCTGGGCCATCAGAGGACAGTGACTGTGTCCTGTGCAAACAGCTGGTGCTCACTCGATGTGCATGGAGGACGTCGGCCTGCCCCTCCCCGGTGAGCTGGTGCTCCAGCCGCCTGTCCCGCAGAGTCAGGGCAGTGGGCCCTAGCTGTCCCCGGAGCACCGGGCAGACAGCCTGAAGACCAGGTCACCGGGACTGAGGGCAGCTCCACCCGCCCCGCCCCGCCCCGCCCCGCCCCTCCCTCGGTGCTCTGGGGCCCCGCCCCTCCGAGGCGCCCGCAGGTGCTGGGGAGGCTCTGGGGGGGTGGGCTGGGGGCACCTTGGAGAGCAGCCGGGTCACCACCAGGCCGACGTCCTCTCTCCACTCAGGGGTGTTGGGGTTGTGCACATCCAGATCCGTGGAAAACCGCAGAGGCACTACCTGAAATTGGTCTGAAAAGTGGCAGAGACGGGCGAGCTGGTCAGTCCTGGGCAGCAAGGCTCCGCCCTCCGGCAGGAGGCCACGCACCCTGGATAGTCCAGGACTGCCCTGGCTTCAGATCCCGTGGGCCGCTTTGGAAAACAAGAGTCCTTCCTGCGCCAGCCACCGCCCGGGGCAGGGCCCACCTCACTGACTGGCACCTAATAACGAACATTAAAACCCCTGTGCCCACCGGGGAGGGAGGGCCCGGCACGCGCCAAGCCTGCCCTATGAGCTCCGCCCCGTTCACTCACAAGGATGGCTACACCCCATTCGGTCGGGCTCCCTTCCCCCGGGGATCCATGGACTTCAAGGGCACTGGTCTCCCCACCAGAGTAAGAGTCCCTTGAGGGCAGAGGTCCCACCTTCTCTTTCTCTCCCATTTGCCAGGGTCCCCAACCCAGAGGCCCACTCTGGAGCCCCGTGCAGGTGGTTGTGAGAGGAGCTCGCTGTAGTCTCTCCAGGTTCCTCCTGAGCCCCATGGAGGAAGGAGGCTTTGTTGGGGCTATGCGGCCCAAGGGACAAGCGCTTTGTGAACTGGGAACCCAGCAGCTTACGGCAGGGGAGGCAGTGACTATTTCAAAGCCCTGGGCTCAGGACCCTGTGCACATGTGTTTGCGAATGGAGGAACAGCCAAAGGCAGGCCCACTAAATATTTAACTGATGGCTGCTGTCCATAGGAGAGGCTGTTGGTAAGCAAAATGAGGTTTTATCAGTGTGATGACAAGGGCAATAGCACCCTGGGAGGGGGGCTCTCTTCCATTTTTAGGATTAATCTCTTATTGTAAATGTCTCCCATGAGGGACTTGGGGCCCCCAGTGAGTGGGATCCAGAATGGGAGTCTCAGTAAAGGCTATGTTAGGGGTCCTCTTACTTTAAGCTAGAATCATGTGACAAGGGGGCAGGAGAGGTCAGGCTGCTGGGAGGCTGGCAGACCCGGTGATCCCGACAAGTCGGTCACTCAGCCACGTCCTCTTTCTGTGCCGTGTGAGGCCCATGAGGGCCACTGGACACAAAGACTCGTCTGTGTTCATTTTACAGATGGGGAAACTGAGGTCAGGGAAGCTGGGGAGCGTCAGAGCTGTGTTCACCGGCTCCTCTCCCTAGCCTGCGCTGCCCTGCATAACCAGATGCCACACAAACCCAGCGCTCCCGAGAAGGGCGAGACGTGCCTCCCGTCCCTGGGGAGGGGGCTCACCCAGCACGCGGACCACCTTGGAGTCCTGCAGCACCGAGTTTCCGCAGGCGGCCTGCACAGTCACACGCACGTCCCCCGTGTCTGCAAACCGCGTGCTCACAGAGTTCTCCAGGGAGAGCAAGGGCTGCGGGGACCATGAGCACGGTCAGGGCAGGTCCATGCGGGAGAGCCTGCCCCACAACCCGCCCGCTGCCCAGGGCCTCACCCAGAACGTTCACTCTCCCCCGCTCTGGTCGGGACATGGGGGCAGCAGGGGGGGACACGGGGAGGGCCCCCCCAGAGGCACCAGCTCTAAGTCAGGGCAGCCTGGACCCAGTCTCCTAGGGGCCCCTTCCTTCCAGACCTGCTCACAGGGCTGGGCTGAGAGTAGCGGAGTTGGGATTTGAACCCGGAGCTCGGCGCCCTCCTCAACCCCACCCCCCATTCCAGGGAAACGCGATCTGGGGCCTACGGCTCCTCCCGCCCGGCTTCTGTGTCTGGGCCTTCAGCGCTGTTGGGGTCTTTCTGCCTGGGGTGCAGGGCTAAGCTTACTGAATGAGGGAAGGATGCCCCTCTTGAGGTCTCGAGGGCTCCCAGGCTAAGGTGGGCAGCCCTGCCCGCAGAGACCCTCCAGCCCTCCTACCAGCGACTGTCTGTGGCTCCCCGCTGCTTACGGGGTACAACCCAGGGCTCTGGGGAAGGCTTCTGAGATCAGGTCCGGCCCCCGTGACCCCCTCCTCCATGAAGCCTTCCCTGACTACACCCAACGCCCAGACTAGAAACGGCCTGATCTTCTGGAGCTCGAAACACCTCACCGGCCCCCTTCCTGTGATGCGTATCACAACTCGGGTCACCTGTCGTGTTCACACCTCTCTCCCCAGGAAAAGGCAGTGTCTGGTCCACTTTATCCTGCGTCCGCCACACTTAGACTCAGCCAAACACGAGCAGGTGCTCGGGAAGAAAGGCTGGTGTGTGCTCACCTCAAGTCCACCATGTGTCCCTTGGTGGGACACCCTGTGTCCTTCTGCCCAGGCCCCGGGGCACTGCCCGGCCCCACTCTCACCCAGGTGCAAGCCTGTGGGTCCCGGGGCCAGCGCACCTGCAGGCTGTGGCCGATCCACCAGTAGAAGACGGTGAGGTTGGGGTTCAGGGGCAGCAGCACGGCTGTGAGGTTCACCTCCTGGTTGAGGCCGACGACAGGAAGCACTTCGAGGTGCAGGGCCTGCAGGGGGGCTGCGGGGTCCGGGGAAAGGCCGGGGTTAGATGGCGTCAGGGCACTGGCATTTCAGAGGCTGCCTACCGGGCACTGTCACCATCACCTTCGTCACTTCCACCAGCATCATCACCAAACCCACCGTGGCACGGAGCACCCGGGGTGTGGACCTGAGCCCAGCCTGCCCATCTCCCTGCCCCTCGGCCTGCCATCCTGAGGACTGGGGTCCTAGAGCAGGCCCGAGGGTCTCCCTGCATTCCCCCCAGGACCCGGGGCCCTCTGCCCCGGGGAGGGACTCTTGGCCTCAAAGGGGCGACGGACTTACAGTTGACCTGGACAAAGAGCACCGCCTCGTCGTGCCCCGCCACGTTCTCCGCCCTGACAGACACGCGGTAGACGCCGGGGCTCTCGTAGCGGTGCCGGATGGGCTCCTCGGTCGACGTGAGGTTCACGTACACGGCCTTGAAGCCATCCCCGAGGTCCACCTGGTACTTGGTGGTCAGGACATCACCCTGCGGGAGAGACCACGAGGCCACTCAGGGGCGGCCGTAACGCGGACGGGCCAGCAGCGGGTCTACTCACTCCTTTCCTCACACGCCGTGGGCCCGGGCCCCTAGGCACCTGCCTGCCCCGGGGACCTCCAGCCTGGCGATTTGGCTGAGGAGGGCAGGCGCGGCCCGGAGCTGTAGAGACGCAGGAGCGTGGGAGCAGGGCGGCGGGCCCGGCGGGCAAGGGACACCCACTGAGGCCTGAGCCAGGGGCCGGATGGATCTCAGGGCAGCGGCCAGAAAGATCCTCTGCACGAAGGCTCCTCAGGGGCCTCCCAGCAAATTCGGGAAACGTTTTCCCTTGTCTGATGCCGAGCGCCGCAGTTCTGGGGTGTTTCTTTGATCCTGTTCTCCGTGGAGCAAGCATGCAGCTCGGACGCACAGGGTCCGTGCAGCGCGGAGCTCCCTGCATCTGCTGTCCCTTCCCGGTGTTTGAGCCGCTGGGGGTCGTCTGACGGTCTCCGCTCGGGACTGGGGGTGCCAGTCCCCACAGAACCACAGCTTCCTTACCGAGGCACGGGAAATCCAGCGGAAAAAACCCTGATTTTCTCCAGTTCATAGCGAGAAAGCGTTCTTGCATTCTGTCTCATGCCCACTCCCCTCCCTCCCCTGCCTGCCTCCCCATTCCTGCAGGAACACCCTGAAAACCTTGTCCCGGTGACCAAGAACGACAATTAGCACTGGCCATGTACGAACCTCTCATTTTATGCCAGCCCAGCCCTTAAACTTACAG